AACTGCCAGCCTTCTGATTAGCAGTCAAGTGCCTTAGACATTACGCTACTAGAGCTCCATAGTGATACTACCTCGGAAACCCAAGGAGGGGTCGCTATGAGTCAAATCTACTTGATGGCAGGAGCTTCTGGAGTTTTCTTTTTTGGTAGCAGAGGAATCCTTCAAGCATTTGATGATGTGTGGGACATAATGCCAACCAAAACTTTTGGCCTGTCAGGTTTCTTGGAAATTTGTTGTCTCAGTTGTAGTATGTACTTCTACCTGCTGAGGACATGCATGACTGCATGAATCTGCAGAAACAGGGTTCATCCCACCAATCCTTCCACCAAGGTCCACATGGGACATATGTGTCCCATATAATTGTATCAAAATACATATTACCTCAAAAAGTATCCCCCCCCGGGACTTCCACATGCCTTTATGTACTGAAAAAACATGGTATCAACAAAAAAAATCAAAGCAGAAAGTAATTCAGCCATGAAAAGATTAAAATACATTCAGAAGATGGAAGGGCTTCTAAAAGTTCTGCTCTTCTCAACTCCTTGACTATTACAGTGTAGTATTGGCATTCTCTGAGATAAAGGTCTTTGGTAGCTGGCCTAGGTCTTCTATGATATATTTTTAAATATTTTTCCTCTAAAAATGGTACTTCAGAAAATGCTATGTGGGAGTGGCATGCATCTTTGTTTGTAAAGTTATAACTACAAGAAAAAACTTTCATTTTCATATTACTCAAAATTCTACATAAGTAATAATAGATCCTTTTTCATATGAGACTTACATTGAGGGTCTCTTAAATTGAAGTGTATTGTATTCAGAAAAAGGTGGTGGTAATTATGTCAATAAGGATGTCAATATGAGGTCTCTTCTATATAGTTTAAAAATCTATAATCTATCTATACTCAATATTCTGTGTTTTATTTCTTATTCCTCAGCCCATTTGACAATACAATTAAAAAACAGTATGAACTAAATACACACTGTAAATAATGTGAATGAAAAAATATAAATATAAGCAAATAGAAGAGAGAATAGTGTGCACACACACATGTGCTGTTTGTATAACAATGTTAACTTCCATTTATAAAGCATTTTTGAATTAAGACAACTTTCATTTGTATCATCTTAATTAGCTATTGGCAAGAGGCGGTGGAAAAGCTCAATAACTTCAGCCAAAACCAGGCCAGGAGCTGATTGTGGAACAGACCATCAACTGCTCATATGCAAATTCCACTTGAAGTTAAAGACAATTAAAACAAGT